GAACGGGAAAATAGTTGCCCACCAATACAGAACGACGTCGTATCTAAGAATCGTATGAAACATTTTTATTTCGTCTCCATTTATTTGCGCCACTAAAAATCGTCTTTCTCGTCGGTCCTTCCAACACCAGCGTCCCTCCGAAACCACAAATTGGCCATGCCTAGCCCCGATTTTCAGCGTCTCTCTTTCACCGAATCGTCCTCTTTCACAAATTGGTCATGCCTAGCAAGGTGATCGGATGAAGGACACCCTTCAAGAACTCCAAAATGCTGTTTACTTGACAAAGGTACATTTCCACTCAGACTAATGTGGTCTGTGTATGTACTCACAGACTCTCCTTGATTTCAAATATAACATCTTTAATACTGTGTTTTCTGTGTCTTTGTGTGCATGTATCTTTTTATTTCTTAGTTTACTAATCACTTTTATTTGCATCTACTTCCCTCCTATTGGAATTGCAAGCTTGATATGAATTGCGTATGAAATCAGAAATTTTAAATCTCTTTAACTGATTTCTCTTACAATTTATATGCATTCTTTTGTTATCATTTATATTATTAACAATACATTGTCTGTACTGACATTTATATTTCTGTTGTTTTTAGCCACAATAGTGCGTTACAATGAAGAAGAATTGAAAAAGATACATAATTCGAGTTGTTCTCATCCTGACTCAAAGAAATCACAATCATCAAATGGCTTTCTGAGCAATAGCTGCAGCAGTCAGTTGAGAAATTCAGCTGCTCAACAATCTCTGGATATAACAGACAAGGATTTAGAGATGCCAATGCCACCTCTTTGACAGGACGAGATTAGGTAGGAAGTGTCCTACCCCAGGAAAACCCTTTTATGTTTGGGCAAAATTTGATGTACCATATGAGTTTCATTACCTGGGATAAAGAAAACTAATTAAGAATGTTACTGATGTTGTAATTACCATGCAACATAAGTTTGTGCAGCAGCTGATAAATATCAATTCTATAGAGTTCTCTAATTCTACTCTAATATCTTAATAGCCTGCACTGATAATATACATACATATATATATATATGTATATGTATGTGTGTATACGTATCTCAATAGCCTGCAAATGGCTCTCCTGGTTCTGTTTCATTTATTTATCTTTGGATCATTTCTACAACTTGCATCATGACAATGACTGAAACCTGAACCTGAATTGAGGGCCATTTAGTTTTAGGCAAACAAAGTTAATAAGAAATTTCTCTTTGCTTATGCTTTTTCTTTTGTGTCAGGAAGACCATGCAATGTTTCTGATTTATTGGTCAATTTGGTTGAAGCTGTGAAATCCCTTGCACATAAGCAGCAATGTACCGTGGAACTTTGTCATCTTTCACATTCTTTGGAAGTTGCTTTAGAAGAACCCGCTTTATGTAAGGCTCTGAGCAACTTAATTGAGGGCGCATTGTTGCACGAACACATGTTGGAGGGCAACGTTGAAATTGTTTGTGTTCAAGCACCAGCAGGTGGTACTCTAGTTCTAATTGATGATGATGGACCGGATATGCACTACATTGTAATAATTGCCAATTCTCTACTCTGCTAACATAGTTTCCTGCATTCAAATTACAGGCTATAGGATCCCTTGAATGTCTTTTAATCAAATGTTTAGAGTTAATTCTCTCCTCTTACGATCATTTTGGGAGATGAAAGTGCATAGATCATTCAATATTACTAGTGAGCGTTAACATTCTTTTGGAGAAAGTAGTTGTTTTTAATCTGTTTTAGGATCATTAAAATCGAGGGAATGGTAGTATTGTGCGACAGAAAGCTACAGCTTGGAACAAATGGTAGCTGAGTTCCTGGCACAAATGGTAGCTTGGAACAAATGGTAGCTTAGAGGAGAGACTGTCATACAAAGAATTGCTTTTGAATTTAATTGTGCTGAGAGAGGACAATAACAAGAAATATTCAAGGAAATAATATAAAAATCTTGTAGGAAGGTCACACGCTAAGTGGTCAAGTCAGAACTCTTAATAGTAATAAATGTTTTTATATTTAAGTTAGTTTACATGTAGGTAAGGTATATTAAGAGATTATAGTAAATTAATTTTTATTATCTAATTTGAAATGTCATTTTTTAAAAGCAATAATTTTTTTGTAAAAAGAAAAAAATTTTCTTAAGATTTATTTTGCTAATTAAAAATTAATCTCAAAATACATACAACAATTCATTCAAAAATACACTAACCATCAAAAGAAAAAGAGAGCTAATCATTCTAAGCTACAACAATACCCTTAAAGTTTAGATTCATCCAAAAGAAAAAAAACCCTTAAAGATTGACCCTTTTTTTGCTTTTTTTTTTATTAGTATAATTAAGAGATAAAAAAATAAAAAAAATTGTCAAAATTTAAATCTTGAAATTTTAAATGTCATTATGCTTTTCAAATAAGTTGTGGCTATTAAATTATAATAGTAATAGGTATGATTGTCCTTATTTTGGGCTACTAAAGTTTGAATAAAATGAATCAATATTACGGTAGGCTACCTATGAGCAACTTGACCAGTTGGATTAGGTCAATGCCGTCGGACTTTGACAAACTGGGTCGTAATGAATGGAACATTAATCTAGCAGCTTGTTGAGCTAAGTGTTTGCTACTTCAAGGCATGATACATTTTTCAGAGGATGATCAATGATTTTAAATGAAGACTTCTTATTTTTCAATTTTGGTGGTTACTTTTGACAATTAGACAACCTATTTCCATGGTATGTCCCTCTACACATCTATATTCTCATAAAATGATTTTCAGTTATGATTGAAAAAAAAAAAAAGGAATTGAAGGGTTCATGAACTTTGGTTGGTGTTGTAAGGAGAAATTTTTTTTTCTTTACAAGGATTGAACTTTAGGACTCGTTTTTGAAAATTTCTCTTTTAATTTTTCTTTGCTAATCTTTCAATTTATGCATGTAAGAGTCTTAATCTCTTAAAGTTGATGCACAAAAGTTGATTACTATCTTAATAAAAATAATAATAATGCCAACTATTTAAGTGACACAATAATAATTTTTACTCTAGATAAAATAAGAGATTTTGAATTTAAATCATATAATAAGAATAGTGTGTGTGAATTAAATGATAAGGGATGAATTTTTTCATTATATAATCTTAAATTAAAAAACAAATAAATAAATAAATATTCAAATATCACAATAATTATTTAAATTTCAAAATGAATGACTTAAATGAAAAACTAAAAATGAATATAACAATTATGAAGTATTAATGGTTAAAGTAATCTTATCATTGATATATTAAACATTCTCACAACAAAATTTCAAACATGTAACTCCCTCTCCCATAAGTTTGAAAAGTATATATTAAAAGAAGTAACATTAACACATAGCTTGAAGTGCGGTGTAGGTAATTGTCTTTTCCTGATTAACATTACCACATGACAATCATTTTTCTCTTTTTGACTATTGATGACCGTTTGTTAATCTTATTGCCTTTAGAAAAGCAAGTCCACTCAAAAGTGTGCCAGCCGTTGTCTTTGGCTCCAAAAGGATGTGCTTTTAGGGATTCTTTGAACTTAGCATATCTCACATGCCCCAAAAATATTGAAATGGGAAAAGAAAGATGTGTTTTTCTATATCAAAGGGTTGAATACATAAATAAATAAGTGTTGTATTTTATAAAAGGGTTATAGAAAATAAGTTCGTTGTTTGACAATTTTGACAGGGTCAGGGTTATCCATCAAGGTTTTTTGCTTTTTATTTTATAAATTAAGTTTAAATGTAAGTCTTGAGAGTATTATTGAAAGAAATTTTAATTTGATTAAATTTAAATGTTAATATTTTAACTCTACCCTTATTTTAAAATATATAGAAATGTGTTACTAGAATTTTTTTTGTTTAAATATAAAAAATAATGAAAATAAAAATATAAGTCTTAATTATTATAATAAATAAATTTATTATACATAAACAAAGTGAGATAACTAAATTATACTAAAAGAATTCTATCTATATTTTATTATACAGACAAAAAGAATAATTTAGAGAGAAGAAATGGCAATTTCATTACAAGATAAAAATTGAGTTGCAAGTTGTAACGTATTATAACAACAAATTTTCACATGCAAGGCACCTAATATAAGTAAACAAGTTTCCATTTTTTTAACTCAGTTACCCAACATATCTTATTCTCCATCTAAATCTACCATCAGTTTAAATAAATCCTAGTTCTTTCCCAGTCAAACAACTACCGTACTGTAGTATTTTGGTACAAATCCAAAACATTTCAAAAATAAATAACTATTTTGGTGTAATTCCATGCCCCATCCCCAACCAATGAAATAACCCCGCATTTACCAAATCCCATTTATGATTCGGCAAAAACTAGTTTTTGGCTCCTTACCTTACAAGTTTGAAAGTTTTATCTTTTTATTTTGTATTATGACATTTTTAACTATTTATTTATTAAAATTAAATAAAATAATTCTCATTATGTAATATTTTGTTAGTTTTATTAGTTGACTACTAATTCTATTAGTTGATTATTAGTTAACTGTTAATTAATAAAAACTTTTTTACCGTTAATAGAGTTAACAGAACTAATTTTATAACATTTCATTAATTTTATTAATTAATTATTAGTTGACTGTTAATTAACAAAAATTTATTTTTAATTAAAAAAATTAACCATTAGTATAAAGTGAAGAATATATTTTTTTTTTAATTTTAATATGTGAGGGGTTAAAATTTATAAACTTAGTAAAATAAGATGTTAAAAGTATAAGAGAATAAGATAAGGAGTAAAACTTTCAAACTTGGTAAGATGAGGGTCTCAAGGTAGGTTTTTGCCTTTATGATTCCGGACCTCTGACGGCAACAAAGCGCGTCCTCCTGTCATACATCTGCATGAATGACAACACAAAAGTGTCGTCATGCGACGGAAGTGTGATTGTAATTATATAATTATTATATATAATTAAATGGGTAAATATATATAATAATTTTAATGTATAAATTATTAATAAATAAATATTATGTT